GTCAAAATTATCCAGAACTGCTGTCGATCTTCGCGCCCATTCTTTCCGTAGCAATTTCGACTGCGCCGAGGGGAGCGGGGGAAAGGGGATGGGGGACCCGCGTGGGCGTTGCCAGGGGGCGAAGCGGCGCTGGCTCTCTGCGGGGCTCCGGATGCACTCCGAGGCCCCTCCCGGGCGCCAGCCGGATCTGCTGGTGGAAGGCCTCCGAGTAGCAGCAGTAGCCGCCGCGGTCGCTGCTGCTGGCGCTCTCCAGGAACTCCGAGCGCAGGGTCAGGATGCTCCTGGCCGCCTCGGCGACGGCGACCGCGCGATGAGAAGGGGGCCTCCCTCCTTGACCCGCCAGCCCTGTCGCGCTCCCCGAGCATCAGGTCGGGCGTGTCCTCCTACAGGCGGACTTTGGGCGACAAATCCGCCGACCCTGTCTGCGTGTGCGAGGGGCTTGGCTGTTCGAGTCGTCGTCTCCGTCGGTCGTCGCCTCCGTCGTCCCCTTTCCCTGCAGCTTCCTTCTCAAGCTCGTGAGCGAGAGAAAAATCTAGCAGTGTCGTAATCGAGTCGAAGGGAAGCCCCTTCCCTTTGATCCCTTCCCCAGGGGGGGGGGGGTCCCGGGGGGGGTCCCCGGGGGGGGTGGGGGGGGGGGGTCCCGGGGGGGGTCCCGGGGGGGGTCCCGGGGGGAGGTCCCGGGGGGGTCCCGGGGGGGGTCCCCGGGGGGGTGGGGGGGCAGATTCGTTTTTTCCTCGGGCGGCCTAGAAACCTCGAAAACACTCCAAATGAGGTCCGAATGCCCAAGATGGCCCCCGAGACGGCCCAAGAGGGCCCCGAGTCGCCCAAAGATCTGCCGCAAACGCCCAAGACAGCCCCAAGACCGTCCAAGAAGCCTCCAAGACGTCCCAGGCCCCCTCCAAGAGACCCCCAGGAAGCCCCAAGAGGCCCCCAAGAGCGCTCGTCGTCGTCGTCGTCGTCGTGGTCGTCGTCGTCGTCGTCGTCGCCATTCAGGGTCGGCGGCACCGGCCGTAAGGCCTTCGCAATATCAAATTTCCAAAGTATATTCAAGTTTGGTCAAACAATAAAAAAAGAATCGTCCACATCTCATGTGTTACCATGTTTGAATATTCCTCCTGCAGGGGGACACGCCCGACCTCGCCCGAGCAGCAGAGCGCGCGCACCGCAGAGGAGGAGGGGTCCTCAGGTGCAGTGCGGGATGCGGGCGATCCTGACAGGGCGGCTGACACCCAGACATCAGCTTGGCTACCTAATGGGTGGCGAACGAACAGCACACACCCGTCAACGTAGGGAGCTCGGAGGGATGAGGACTGGCGATGGGTATGGGTGCGGGGTGTCGGGCCCCTGGGGAAGCTCCCGTTCGAGCGGGGACCCCCATCCGACAACACGCACCCACAACTCATTCCGTCCCCCCTATGGGTATGGGTGCGTGCTGATCGTTCGCCACTTCGAAACGGAAAATTCACGCTGTTACTTTGGAGGAACGATTTGCTATTTGCTGAAGGAAGCAAGCCTCTTAGTGCAGTGCTCTTGCTCATGTGCTTCGTGCATCGCGCCGGGCGGTGCGCGATCATTTTCGGGCCCTCGCGCCGGGCCCTCGGAGAAAGGGCAGCCGCTCTGGCCCAGACCGCGGCGCGCCGAGCGGGCGTATCTCCGCGCCCTCGCGGGTGACCCCGATAACTGCCACGCGTTCGCACAAGAAGGTGCCCGTGCACACGGCCCAACTCCCATGCAATCACGCGGCGGGCGTCGGAAACCCTGAGCCATCCAAGTCTTCCTCTCTCTCGGGAGGCCGCTGCTTGCTTCCGCCAGCAATCGCTGGCTTCCCCTTGCGCAGACGCGGCCTCGCTCTAACTTCCGCCGTATTCCGCCGACCTTCCGACGCCTTCCGCCGAAGATGAGGCGACAACTCATCTGGCCCTCGAGATCTCGGGGCCCTCTCTGGAATGCCTCGCGTGCCAAGGAGCTGCACGCCGGAGCAGCGACGAGCTGAGCCATACACGTTCCGCCGACGGCAGCGTTCGGCTCCAGTCGCTCCCGGCGGCCTTGCTGCACGGCACGGCCGTGGTGGACGCTCGGCTGCTGGGGAAACCGCGAGCAGGGACCCGCAGTGCACTCGGGTCTGGCCGTGGTGCCGAAGCCCTGCCTCGCGATCACGGGTCACCCGGCAGGGGGCGAGCTATAAACTGGGCCTTCCGTTCGCGCGTTGCTTGCGTTGCCCGTCTCCGTCCGCCCCTGCCGCAGCAAAATCACAGCGACAACCTGTCCACGAAAGCTCCCAACATACATTTTACCTTGAGCCCTGTCGGCAAAAACGAAGCACAATCGATGAGGAGGGAGCGGCGGCAACACGGCGCCACGGCGACGCCGCGTCCAAAACGACTAGGAGCTCGGCCTGGGCGCTGCGCGCGGCACAGACGGCGCCGTGCCGCACCTCGTTGGGGCGCCAGCCCCGCGGCTGGACCCCGACCGCGGCGTGCGCGGTCACGGCTGTGCTCTGGGGCCGGCTTCTGCCATGTCGCTTCCGCCCACAAGCCCTGCCTCGGGATGGGCAGCAGGAGATTCTCCCGAGGACGCCTTTGTAGGTGCAGAGCAGTCAGACAGAAGCGAGACAATTCAGAATCCCTGTGCTGTTCACGATGACGAGAGCAACACCTCGCTGCGATTGCGAATGATGCCTTCTTCGCGCCAGCCGTTGCAGACGAATGCCTCACGGTTTTGCAGGCGCAGAGAGGCATCGACGACGGTTACAACAAGGCTGGCAAGCATCAGTGGCACTTCTGCGTCCCAAGACTGACACCGACCTCGACTCCACGCTGCATTGCAAACGTGGAGGCATCAGAGCACCGCGGAGGTCATGTGCGGGCGGAGGAAGTCCCACCAAGGACGTGCAAAGAAGCATACGAAGCATAGGACGGACGAAATGGCATTCGAGCTAGGCGTGGCCTACCCCAAGAGCCAGGCTGTATTCGACATCCGCCTAATGAAGTTCATGATGACAACATCCCTCAATGAACATGAACATTTCGGCTTGGAATCGGACATCGGACATCGGACATGGGACCTGCAGCTGTCGCCGGCGGGGGCGTCGCAGGTTTGCGCCGTGGCGCCGGGCAAGTGTGAGACAGATGAACAAACAACACATACGTGAACATGTTACGCTACAACATGCAATATACTACAAAGAAGAAGAAAAAGGATCAGGCGCCGTCCTGCCTACATACGCTGCCTCAAGCAATTCCCAGTTGTCGGAGAGGGCTTTTGAAATCCATTCGGGCCCTGCGTAACGTACAATATCATCGGACCACCGCTTCTTCGGATGACCCTGTCGCCGTCGCGCACCCAGTGTTGAATCGCATTGAGGGTCCCATCGTAACGCCTGTGCTGTCCATGCGTATTCTGCCACACTGCAAACTTTCTGAGCCCACCTCCATTTCCGAGGGCGTAAGATCGTGACCGAATCGGTAATTTGCAGATGCTCCATCATCCCTTCAGCTTTGTGGGTGGACCGTCGGATGTAGTCTGCCCATGGCTCTAGGTCGGAATCGTCTTGCCAAGTCACCTCCGGTCCAAGTTGTCGTGGGTCTCGACGTCGTGGCGCACGCAACATCATACGCAACATCTGGCGCTGTGTTATGCGGGGTCGGTTTTCCATTTCAACTGTCGTTGTCCATGCTTCACACCCATAAAGAATAGTCGGTGCAATCGTTCCGTGAAAGAGCCGGATTCGTTTATTCATTGAATCATGCTTCCCTGTCAATTCAGTTCGCAGAGCAAAGAACTTTCTCCATGCCGTCGAGATCCTGTTCTCCAGCTCGGCGACGTGGAATCCAAGATATTTCGTCGACCTGTAAGGCGGCAAAATCTCGATTGTCATTCCGTTGGGAGTTGCGTGGCTGGGTGTTTTTTTTCTACACCGTCTGTTGCCGTTGTGGAGAATGTTTGTCTTATCCGGATGTAGTTCGAGTCCTGTATTGGCGGCCTCCTTGCTCAAGTCGTCCAACATGGAAATGATGTGGCGCACCGGCCCAGCCAGCTATCAAGATGATGTCATCCACCAACCGGAGATCAGTAAAACGTTCATGCCCACTGTGCAACTGTAATCCAATCCGTTTGGTAGACCACTTCTGTTTGATATTCCGCATAATACTTTCTGATACGCAGTTGAACAACAGTGAGCTCAACGGGTCTCCCTGCTTTGTGCCCCTTCGTATGTGGAGCTCTCTGCTCCTCCTGTCTGTTCGGACTGTAGCTGATTGCCCGTCATACACTTACGCGAGTAGCTGCACGTACGCCACAGGCGTCCCTTGGTCACTAAGGGCTCGCCAAATGCTTTGATGGGTGACCGTGTCGAAGGCCTTCTTGAAATCGACCGTGGCTGTCCACAACAGGATCGTCCACTCTTCCGCCATCTCGTGTACTTGACTGATCGTGAACAGATGGTCGCACGTGCTGCGGTGCGGTCGGAAGCCGGCTTGGTCACTGTTTTGCTGAGGGTCTAAAATGGGGTGTAGGCGGTTGTATAGTAGTCGTGAAAACAATGTGTATAGCAGTGGTATGGTCGCGATAGGTCGGCAATCGTGTGGTAGCTGAGGATTGCCACTCTTGTGGGTTACCTTGATTACGGTTTTATTCCAGCAGCTTGGCGTCGGCGCCGTCGGGCTTGCAATGCTGCTGTAGAGATCCAGGAGAACCTGTTTCAGAGTTTTGCCTCCGGATTTCAACATTTCGGCTACTAAGCCTTGTGAATCAGCCGCCCGGTTCGACTTAAGTTGCCGCAAAACGAGATCAAGTTCATCAGTACTGAAAGCTGGGATCCTCGGGTCGGTTGTACTCGGTGTCGGCTGTTGTCCTCGGTTGGTGTCTCGGTAAAGCTTCTCCTAGAAAGCAGCAAACACATCTGCAATTGATTGCCTGTCGTGCTGTGTCTCACCGTCTGCGTTGATCATGCTACCAATGAATTCCTTCTGTTTGTATGACTTGATGCCGCTGATGCGCTTCAAGTGCTTGTAATCCGTAAGTAGGTGGACAATGTGGGCTCGTTGAGTTGCTCTCCGGATGGCTCTCGTCTCTTTCCGCATGGCTTTGTTCAGCTGCCTCCTGGCCGTAGTGGCAGACGGTGCAGTCTCGCGCCTTGCATGTAGTAATGGTGACAACTGCTGCGTGGCCTGCATTCGCGTATTTCCCCCCGCTGTGCCAGGCTTCGGCTGGATGTCAGAAAATATCGGTTTGATCGTTGATTCTATCTCGCCACAGCGTGCTTCGACCTCTTCAATTTTCAACTGCATTTGTAAATCCAAAAGCATACCATCCAGTTTGTCCGTGAGACGCTCCCAGTAGAGCAACACGTCGTATGGCGGCCACTTCGGTAATTGTTGGTTGGACTTTTTGTTCCGCTTGACCGGCTGGTTCGTGTCCACGGTGTTCGTGGGCATCTTCACTGCCACTCGTACTGCCCGGCTGTATTCGACATCCGCCTAATGACGATGACAGCATCCGTCAATGAACATGATAATTTCGGCTTGGGAGCGGGAAAATATGAATTACTGTCAGCCGACTCAGACTTGACCAATGCGTCTTATTGGAGGCAACTTTCGTCCAAGAGCGGGTTGCCATTTTGCCACGGTGGAGACCGCCGAGGGTTACACGAGTCGCGCTAGCAGCAATCAACACATTGGGACTCATGGGGCACGATTCTCCCTATTAGCCAAGATGGTACATGAACTCTGCTGCTGCATTTCGAACTGTACTGCTCGAAGACAAATCCTCCTCGTGTGAGCCTCAACTGCGGCACCCATCATAATAGTTGTTTGACGGCCCCAGCTCATTGCAATCAAGGCCTTCCCGGATGTGGCGAATCACCAGTTGGGACTGCACCGCATCGTCGATGTATCGCCGATGCACCGGCGATGCATCGGCGACGTTGGCGGCGCATCGGCGACGTCGTCGCGGAGACAATCAGTCTCCACATCGAGCCGTATCGCCGATGCATCGGCGATGCGGCGCGATCCTCCGACCCCTTCGACTCCAACTCCTCTGGGAGGCCTTGAGATCAACGGGCAAGAACATGCCAGCTGCTGAAGAGCACATGCACAAGCCCGATCATCTGGTGAGGTTGAGGCTCGTTGCGGCTATGGCCGGCTAGTCCTACGGCGAGCGTTGGCGTCATCGAGTGGATCTGTGCTCGAGCTCGAGAGCCGTCCAACCTTTCGGCGAGCTCTGACCACGGGTTCGTGACGTGCCGACCCCAGCGTTGGTTCCTGACACCGCGGGGATTGTTCGGCCTTGAGCGATCGGGCGTTTCCGAAACGTCAAATCGTTCGACATCGAAAGACTTTGGGTCGCCGGCGGCATTCAACGATGGACGTCCTCGGCGGGGTCGCTGCCAGTCCACACGACGCAGACCTCCCGAACCACCGCCTTCGACTTCCGGCCCGAGCGCAGGGAGAGGCGCGCGAGCAGCGCGCGACACGAGTGCGCGGACGGCACTGCAGCTGGCAGCGCGGAGATCCGCCGCGACAGGCAGCGCAGGGCGATGGCGGGCTGCCCTGCTGTGAAGTGAAGATTTGGGGGAGGCGCCCGAGGTGCTCGAAGGGGCGAGGGAGCCAACGCCCTGAGGGAGATGCCCGACGCCAAATGTTCTATACCTGCCGGGACGAGCCCCAGGTCGTACACGCGCCAGGAGCGGGACAAAGATCTGCTGCCCCGCGGGCTAGATGCACTGGGAGGTTGGCCTCGCTCCTCCTCCACCTCCTCCTCCTCTTCTTCCTCCTCTTCCTCCTCTTCCTCCTCCTCCTCCTCCTCCTCCTCCTCCTTGTTCCCTCAGCAGTAGGTGTGAGCAAGTGCAGTGCGCGCCAGTGGCTTCGAGGGAAGAACGGCCGCCGAGGCACATGCCAAGGGACCGCGCTGGAGGAAGGGACTCCTCCCCGTAGCCTCAGCGCGTCCTCGTGGCAGAGACGAAAAAGGCCGCATCTGAACTGCAAGTCCACGCAGACAAAGCGTACACATGCGTACACGTCATCCACCTCCACTCTTTCCCTGGGCCTGTCCCTCTGCCACCCTTTCCCCCGTTCCCCCCCCCCCCGCACCACGTTCCCACAGTCCCCTTCCCATCCCCGCGGCCCTCGCCCTGTCAATGCTCTTCTTCCTTGCCCTCTCCCTGGTTTCATCTCCCTCCGTTCTTCCGAAGTGTCTTTTACCTTTGTTCCAGGCGTACTGCCGTCACCTTAGACATCCTTGGCTCCCAGGCCGATGGCGCCTCGTCGTCGAAGACAAGCTCCATCCCTCGGGCCACCTTCAGCAACGCGGCCTTGGGGGAGGAAGTTCTGGGCACGAGGTCGCGGCCGCGCGCCGGCTCTTCCGGCAGCTCCGCTCTGCAACTGCCGCCGGGGACACCACACGTCGGGGAGATTCCTCGGCACGTCCGGGGCACCAATCCCACCAGCCCTCTGGGCGTAGGTGGTCTAGGGCGCTTCCTCTTCCAACCCCCATTATTCCCCTTCGGGAAGGGATTGATCACTGTTCCTTATGAAAATACACCCCATCCCCCAGGCGACCGGGAGCCAACCCAGGTCCATGAGGGCCCCCCCCTCATCCCTGGAAAAAAACAACAATTCAAAACACACGCTGCCCCCACCATCCCTTCGAGAACAATACAAACACACACTCTGTCTCCAAATTCAGAGCATGCGCAGCGAACCCGATGCGGCCTCCCCCCACCATCCCTGTCAAAAGCAAATCAAATGTACACTTGGCGGCGACGGCGGCGGCGGCTGCGGTGGCTGCGGCGGGGGCGGCGGCTGCGGCGGTGGAGGCGGCGGGGACGGCGGCGGCGGCGGCGGCGGCGGGGGCGGGGGCGGCAGCCGTGGCGGCAGCGACTGCGGCGGCAGCGGCTGCGGCTGCGGCGATTTGGCAGCGGGGGCGGCGGTGGCGCGGCGGCGGCGGGAAGCGCGGCGGCGGCGGCAGCGGCGGACAGCGGCGGCGGCGGCGGCGGCGCGCGCGGCCCGCGCGGCGGCGGCGGAGGCGGCGGCGGATTGGCCCCAGTAGCTGGCCATCCAAATACTATTGCTGCATATGTTGCGGTTCGGGCCAGGTTCGGGTGCTACGTATGTGTTGGGAGGGCGGGTGGAAGTGAGCGAGACGGCTTGCGGGCGGGGAGGGCGTCTTCACCCCTCCCCCTACCTTACCCCCTCCCCTGGACCTGGACGGGGGGGGGGGGGGGGGCGCGACACGTTGGAGCGTCCCAGAAGGCCTCGGCGAGGAAACCCAATTCATTGATTTTACTGGCGTGTTGGCCCCATTTTGGCCTCCAGGGGGGGCGCGCTGATTAAAGCTCCCCTCTTGTTTGATCGATGTCCTCCAAGATGGCCGCAAGAGCGTTCCTAAGGCTCCCAAGAGCGCTTCAAGAAGGCCCCCAGAGGCGCCCAGGAGGCCCCAAGAGGCCCCAAGAAACTCCCCGAGGCATCCAAAACAATCCGAGAGGCCCTCGGGACCGACCGCCAAAAGGCCCCCAAGATACTCCAAGAGGCCTCCACTGGGGGCCTTTCCTCTGCATGCTGCCCACTTCCCTGATCGAGGCAATTCCTCTGGGCATCGTTTCTGGATGGGTTGGTGGGGTTATTTTTTCGGTCGCGGCCGCAAGCGAAGAGGCGGGCAGGGAGTCCGGGCAAACGGGCAAGCCGAATTAGCTACAGAAGGCACAAGCCGGCCGGCCCACTCACTGGTGCGGGTATTTTTTTTGGTCGGCGGCTCCAGGACGAAGGTCAAGAAGCGGGGCAACACTGGCGCGGTTATTTTTTTGATCTGCGGCTCCAAAGACGATTCCAGAGAGCGGGTCGTAGCAAGCTTGGGGCGACAAGCAAGATATTACCAGCGGGCCAAAAGCCAACGCCGGAGTGCACACGCGAGGAACAAAATGAACCTCATTAAGCCGAACAGTGACGGCGGCAGACACGAAGGCCAGCGGAAGGTCGCACAGTGGCGCCAACTCCCGAGGCGCAGGCCTGCGAAAGACGGGGGGGAACGCGGAGGGAGAAGCAGGGGCGGACAGGGGCGGGAAAAGGGGGGGGAGCGGGACAGGGGGCAAAGGGAACCTCACTCACAGAGCACCTCATGTGCTCGAAGAGAGGTCGTCTCTGAACCAGGCGTCTGTGGTCTTGTCGTGAGTCCCGAGTGGCAACTCCCTTGCGTCCGTGGACGGGGGGGGCGTCGCGTGGGACCACGGCAACCCTAGCCACCGGCGTCCAGAGGCCCCGCCTGGGGGAGACTGCGGGCAGGTGTGCGCCACCTGAACACCACAGAAGGGCAGGGCGTCGCAGGCGTCCGCGAGCGACGAATCCAACCAGAGGAAGGGGCCGATGTCGCTGGCATAGCCGGATGCCGAAGAACGCCTGCCAAGAGGAAGCAAGGCCCTGTTAAAGGATGCGCCACTTGTACAGGAAGCCAGCCTCCACGGCCCACCTGCCAGTGCCCCATCGGGCGCACCCTGCCGTGCGGAAGGAGTGACCACTTCGGAGCGTGCGCGAAGACGTAGCACTGTTGGGGGAAAGCCGACTGGCTTGCTCAGCACCTCAGCGCACGTGGAGGCGGGGGGGAGAGGCGCAGCCGATAGCCGCAAATCTGGTGAATACTGGAGGAAGGAGAAGCGCAGGTGTGCCAGGCGACGCAGACTGCCGAGGACCCGACAGAGCGTTGCCAGGGGCGCGTCTGGGGGGAAGGTCGTCGGCGTCGAGCAGCGGGGCGGGCCCGTCGTGGAAGGGCTGAGCTTGCCAAAGGATGAACCACTTGTGCAGGAGTGTGCCATGCCTTGGCCCGCCCGCAGGTGGCGGTGGAAGTGGGTAGGCGCGCGTGTGCGCACCGCGCTGCGTCCACGGGTGAGTTTTTTTTTTTGTTTCTTCCCCCCTTATTCTTCTTCTTCTTCTTCCTGGCGTCTCCTCGCCCAAGCGCCCGGAGACATGCTGAGACACTGAGGGGCCTGTCCTCCGCCGCCGTGCCCGGGGCCCCGGACGCCGCTGCGCCGCGGCAGACACGACAGAGGCCACGGCTCCGCCGTCGACCACACAAGGTCTGCCGCGACGCGGCCCGGCGGCGAGGCGGCCCGTCGCCGCCGAGGCGGCGGGGCGCTGCCAAACGTGGCAGCGTGGAGCGGCCCGGCGGCGTTGGATCGGTGGCAAGAATGCGAGGCGGGGGTTCATCCAGATCCACCGCCTGGGGCGCAACGTCCTGGCGCCCCAGCGGGCGGTGGAGATGGGCACGTTTTGGCCCCCGGGAGCCTGAACATGTCCATGTCCAGCGCCTGCCGGGGCCCCCGAAAATGGATCCTCCGGGCGGCGGTCCTGTACAAATCCCGCCTCGGAGGGAAGAGCACTGAGCTTATGTGCAGACCTGCTCTTCGCGGTGTGCAGACATTTTCCGCCCTCGAGAACATGGGCTTCTGCCATTGAGCGCACTGCGGGCCGAGCGTCCTGGCGCCGGGGCGCCCTGTAACACCACGCGCCTTCCATCCCGCCTGAAGACTGGAGCGCTGACTCCACAGAAGAGGGATGGCTGGGCGAGAAGCTGCTGCGCCAGCGGCCAGGAGAGAAGCGAGGAGGCAGGAGGAGGAGAAGGTGAAGAGAGAGAGAGAGAGAGAGAGAGAGAGAGAGAGAGAGAGAGAGAGAGAGAGAGAGAGAGAGAGAGAGAGAGAGAGAGAGAGAGAGAGAAAAAGAAAAAAAAAAAAAAAAAGAGAGATGGCGGGCGCGGCACCAAACTCGCACCGAAATGCCCGCGGCGAAACGGAGGCAGCGGTGGCGCTTGGGGCATATTGGGCGCCCTTGGGACCGTCCGAAAATATACTGATTGAGCGGGTCATGCATGTGGCTGCAGGGACGCAAGCGACAGCATGAACATGGCGAAGGAAAACCTCAGGGCGAAGGCCCCCCGGCATGAACCGCGCCCCAACACTCTGGCATTTGGGATGCCGTTCGCGCCATACCCGCTGCCTCTAGGACTGTCTTGGGACGGAGGATGCCAGCGGCAGCCGATGCCGCCGCCGCGGTTGAAACGGCGGGGGTCCCAATGGGGACCTCAGCGCACGCACCTGTCGTTCGACCAGGAGTGCTCCCCGTTGCAATAGGCTTCGCCGTGGCCCAACGGGCACGCGGCGCAATTTTCCGCCCTGTGGTTCCCGCATTTCACCTCCTCCGGGGGGTCTCCGCACTGGGAGGATTCGGACTTGTCAATGCATTGGTTGCCATACCAGACGCACTCGCCATTGCACCATACCTTGCCATGGTGCACGTTGTCGTCGTCGAATGGGCAAGCTTCGCATGATACGGCTTTGTGGTTCCCGCAAGACTTGGGTCCTTGGTTGAACGCCGCCTCGTCAGCAGGGGAATACACCTTGGCAGCCGACAATAGCGCATTCCTGTGCACATCGAAGGCGTAGAGAGGATCTGGTATGCCGCAGCGGTGGTGGGGGAAGTCAAGATTCCTCTCAGAAATCATCGAGAGCGCTGGTTTCTGCAAGCATCCTGTGGCCATCCAAAGGCGCCTGGACTCGTCGTCGTCGCCCAGACTCCTCCATCCAGAGTCCGCGGATACATAACCACCTCGAACTTGATGCTGCCGCTCCCGCTCCTCAACCCAAGTAGGGGTGAATATGGCTGCTCGTGCCTGTCCCCATGCACCACCGTCGTTCCTGTAGTAAGCTGGCCCATAGAAGGCCTTTCGGAGGCCGTGCGAATTCATATGGCCCCACTGCTCTATGAACGAGCCCGCATCGAGAAAGTGAGTCCCATCTTCGTTGAAGGGGGGTGCTGGTGGTCGCGATATGCTTCCAACCGCCAGGATACTGGTCTTCAAGCTCGGGCGCATAGAACCAACAAACATGCTGCAAACGATCGTCGCGCAATTTCCTCCGAAACATCATCACGGCATATCGCTCATGTGTTTTCCATTTGAAGTTACAGGTCACCCTCCTGCCTGTGCCCTCGCCACCGAAACCTCCGCAATGCACATCTTCGCCGCATATCTCCATCTCCGCCGGGCCAGACGCCTGGTCCCAAGTGCTGCAGATAACCCTGCTTCCGTGGCCACCTTTCTCATCCATCTGAATGCTTGCATAACCATAGGCGTGGGTGTTCGTGGCCAACTACGTGGTCGTCGACGATTCGGTCGGGTAGACTTCGTTGTAGTACCACATTGGTTCCCGCGCGTGCTTTGGCCTGAAGAAATTGAAATGGATGCTGGCAGTGCGAGCCCGGCAACCTCCGCCCATGATGCCATTCTCGATCGGACAACCGAAAGGGTTCTCAGGGGAGAGATCCGGCGGCTCCGGCAAGTCTATGCACATGTTGTTCTTCCACTCACAGTCTCCGTTACACCAACCACTATGATCGCCACAGGCAGCACATGTCTCTGCGTGGTGGCCGCCGCACCACACAATCGTCTCGGCCCTGGCTTCCTCACTGTTCACAAGCTCAGCGTCGTCAGGCTCGAAGTCAAGTTCATCAAGCTCGGACAATGTCCTCTCAGGCGCCAAGTCCATGGCGACCTTCCGCAGCAACTCCTCGTGGGTGATCTCAAGCTCCAGCTCGGGCTCCGCCTCTGATCCCGCAGGCTGGCCACCGAAGCCCTGGAAGAGGAAGAAGAAGGCGACCGAGCCGACCGTGGCCAACGCAGCAACGGACAGCGTGGCGACAACGATGCGTCGTTGCCCAACTCGCTTCGGGTCGACTGCCTCCGGCACCTTGACCTCCTCGGTGCCCGACGCCTCCACCATAAGAGCCAGGTGCTCTGCCGCGGCCATGGCTGCGCGCCGGCTCTCGGAAAGCAACGCCCACACAACCCCAAGCAGAAACGGATGGATTGAGACAAGCAAGGTTTACTTGAGCCAAACTACGGACTGGTGTGGTTACGCGAAGCGTCTAGAATTCGCTGTAAAACACCGGCTCGGGCTCTAGAGGCACATGGACGACTGTGGCATGTCGAAGCAACAGGGGGACCTAATGACCGCGAGCGCCCAGGGAAGCAAATCCGCCACCGTGTTTCTGGCACGAAGTGGAGTGACCCAAGGCTCATGCAGCACTGAAAAATATCTAAAGGCCCAGAACAATCGTTTCCCAGGCTGGCCTGGGGTCAGCCACAATCACGCGCGTCGGCCTCCTCCGCCCCCGAAGTGCAAAAAAACGAGCCCAGATGGCTTCAAGAGGCCACCAAAATTGTCAAAGAGGGCTCCTAAGTCGCCCCAAGATCGCTCCAAGATGTGCAAGATGGCCTCCAGACGGCCAAACAAGCCCTGTAGATGTCCCAAGAAATCCCCAAGAACACCCCCAAGATGACGCGGAGAAGCAAAGCATCGTCCCAGTCCTCATGGGAATCGTGTATGTTCCACATATTCACCTGTTGGGCTTCGACAAGGTCCACAACGGGCCGCAGAGGCCCCAAAAATCGCCCCAAGACGGCCCAAAGAAGCCTCCAAGACGGCCCCCAAACCCGCCCAAGAGAGCCCCAAGACGGGCCAAGAGGCGCCCAAGACGGTCCAAGAGGTTCAAAGGACGGCTCCAAGAGGGGGCGCAGAGGGAGGACCTGAACGGACATGTTGGTCCCTCGGCCCCCAGGGGCCGTTTCAGGGCCCTCTTGGGCCCTCTTGGGGCCCTCTTGGGCAGTTGTCGAGCCCTTCTGGGACGTCCACAAACAAATCTTCGGGCCAATGCATTTCCAGCTCCAAGATGGCTCTAGACGGCCTCGAAGACGGCTCAAATGGTCCGAGATGGCCTCCAAGTTCGCCAAAGATGGTCCAATATGGCCTCCACTATGGCCCAGGAGGGTCCAAGATGCCTCCAAGTCGGCCCAATTAAGCCTGCAAGACGGCACAAAAGGCCCCCAAGAAGTCTCCAAGACAGCCCAAGAGGCCTCCCTGAGGTCCTCCAGGAAGGCCCGAAGAGGCCCAAATCATGGATGTCCGTTTGGTGTTTGCAGGCTTGGTTTGTCTTTCCTTCTGTTCGGCTTTGCGACGGCCCTGGACAACCCTCGAGGCCACAAGATCGTCTCAGAATGGCCACTACGGCCTCCAAGACGGCCCCAGAGGCATCCAAGACGGCCCGCAAGCGCTCCTAGAGGGCCCCAAGACGGCCAAGAGAAACCCTCAAGACGGCTTCCGACGGCGTCAGACGGGACAGGAACGCCCTGAGACAGCCAAAGAGGCTCGCAAGAAGCCTCCACAGGCTCCCAAGGGGCCCAATGAGACCTTCAAGAAGCCTCCAAGAGGTCACAGGACGCTAACAGGAGGCCCCAAGTGGCCCAGGAGGCTCCCAAACGGTTTCCTCCTCCTCCTCCTCCTCCTCCTCCTCCTCCTCCTCCTCCTCCTCCTCCCTTGTGTTCCTCCTCCTCGTCAGCCGCCTCCTCCCCCACGTGCTCCCCAAAGCGTTTCCACCACGGCTGGGGAAATGCATGGCCCAATATCTTGGGGCCAAACGTTGCCCAAACGTTTTGTCACATAGGCGTATCCTGAAAGACAGGGGGGCGGCGGTGATTCGCCGCAGGCGTCTTATATAACAAATCCGATGTGGAAAACGGATTCACCCCTGCATAAGCTTTCGTGGTGTCCAGAACTGTTGTACACCGCATGTGCGTCGACGTGACTTGATATGGACGAAATGTTTCCCGCCACCAGAGCTGGCATCTCCAAACACGCAGCCATGCAACCCAGCGCGGGTGTGCAAGGGTTATGAGCAACCAGAACAGAAATCAAAACCATCGCTAGCGCGCCAGCCAACAGCACGTCCTGCATGCCAAGCGAGGACGACGGCATACTGGCATGCCAGTGAAATGCTGCCGCTTACCAGGGGAAAGCAGCATCGTTATGCAAACTTACTTTGACCACCTACCAATTAACGCCTCGGACTAAATTTAAAATACAGACTAATGACGGTGGTGTTGATCCGTGCCATCAACTTGCAACCACATGCGTGTCACGTGCACCCGACATCGGGTGCTGATGTCTGGACGACGCAAAGCGGGGTACCACCGGAGGGCAAGAGCGTGGGGTACAACTTTTTCCGCGACAGGTGAGGTCGATGTGTGCCCATCACGTTGACTACGGCGCAACAGGTAAGCACCGTTCTGTATGGTCAGGGGGGACGTTGCAGGAAATCTCTGCGCCAGGGACGAACAAGAAACCGATAACCGAACGCACCCGAGATCTGTATGGTGAAGAGGACGATGGAAGGTGTCTCCTCTGAGGCGAAGACAAAATCACACCCTACTAAGCGTGAGCCGAGGGAGGTGCGATCCCCAGACCCAAACGTCGTGCCTTTTTCGCAACGTCGACCCCCAGAGGTCTGGACCCCTTCCCCTGGACCGGTTTTCCATCCTGAACCGTTTTTTAACTGTCCGCAGGGCCGGTACTGGCCTCCAGAAAATGAAAATCATGAGAAACCTCCCGTCGTGCTTTTTTCACAGCGCGAGGGGTCTGGGGAGAGATCGCGCTCTTGTGGGCGTCGCGGCCACGCGCGCGGTGGCGCGGCGCAGCACGTCGGGCGGCGAGTCGCGTCGCGGCCCCGCGTTCGGCGACGGGGCATTGTAAGTCGAGCGCACGCAAACCAGACCCCCTCGAGTCATGAAAAAAATACGACGGGAGGTTTTTCGCTATTTTCGGCGCCCGGGGGCCCTCGCCGGGCCCCGGGACCGTCAAAAAACGACTCGGGACAACAAACTGGTCCCCGGAAAGGGGTCCAGACCCCTAGGGGTCGACGTTGTGAAAAAATCACGACGTCTGGGGTCTGGGAGTGGTATGCACGCGTTCACGCCCAACCGAGCTCTCAGAGACCACTTGGAGTCTCGCAACTGGCAGCCGCCATAGCCATCCGGGCATGGATGGCGGGGAGGGGCAGTGGGCAGACGAAACTGCTTTGAGTGTGGAGGGTGACATACGCCAACCCGGACTGGAAGGCGGGGAGAGCTAGTAACCGAGAGTGGATCGACAAAGGAGCGCGCCAGGGAGCGAAGATGCACACACGCACACACACCACACACACACACACACGCACACGCACACGCAAACGCACACGGACACACACACACACACATATATATATTATATATATATATATATATATATATATATATATATATACATATATACATATATACACATACACACACACACACACGATCGCCGCCAGCAGCCGCCAGACTGAGCTCAGCATGGTCGGCATCGCGCAGTACGCAAGACTCGCGACGCCGCATCGGCCCCCCCGCCGAGCCGCCTAAACTGCCCCCCGCGGCGGGAACGAGACGCGCGAGCGCCTCAAGCGCGGAGAAGAACCGGATCTGTGTGGAGTGGACCAGGAACACAAATTCGCCGGCCCAACGGGCCAGAGACGTGCTAAGATCTCCGGTAACTGGTTAACAATTCTCTAGTTCGCGCGCGCGGGGCGGCCCCTGGGGGTCCCCGGACGAAAAGTACCCCGGGCGAGTCCCGGCTGATCCCCGGGCGACTCCACCAGAGCGCTCCATGAGCGCACCAACAGGGCTCCGAGACGTCCCCGAGAGCCCCAAGAAAGGCCAAGAGGCCCCCAAGAGGCCCCCAAGATGGTACACGAGGGGTCCGACATGCCACAAGATCGCTCCAAGACGCCCAAGATAGCCCCCAGACGCCCCAAGAGGCCTCCAAGAGCACTCCCAAGAGGGCCCCAGGAGGCAAAATTCATTGCTTTTCCTTAGGTTTTTGAAAGATTTTGGAGCTTCCACCTTTTCGGCTTCCCGACGCCCCAAGACGGCCCAAGAGGCCCCCAAGATCGCCCCAAGAGGGCCCAAGAGGCCCCCAAGAGGGCCCCAAGATGGCCCAAGAGGGCTCGAAGACGGCCCAAGAAGCCTCCAAGACGGTCCAAAAGGGCCCCAAGAACGCCCCCAAAGGGGCCCCAGAGAGGGAACACGAAACAACATTTCGAGCCCTCGGCCCTAAGAAGCCCCCACGAGGCCCCAAGAGGCCCCTAAGAGGCCCCAAGAGGCCCCCACGAGGCCCTCAGGAGGCCCCCAAGAGTCCCCCAAGCGGCCCCAGGAGGCCCCCCAAATGCCCCCCCGAGCACGCAAGCAAGTGCAAGCGATGCTACAATGTGCTCTCCTTTCGGTAGACTCCCAACGGGGCCCCTACAGACTTGCAACAAGCGTCAAGAACCTGCCCAAAAAGCACTGTCCAGGAGCGTTCACAAGTGCCGCGAAGAAGCCCTCCTTACGCCGGAAAGCCCGGAAAGCCGGGTGGGGTGAGCTGTTCTTCTCACCACCGCGCCCTCTCACACAATGGCTTCCGCACGCCGCCCAGAGCGCGACGTTCGGCTCATGCCCCCAGAACGCTCCAGGAGCGCGCCAAAACGGCACCGGAACGCACCCGAAACAATCCAAGCGGCCTCAAGTCGCCGAACAAGCGTTCCAAATCGCCCAAGATGACCTCAAAATTGCCGTCGAGGCCGCCAAGAAGCCCCAAGAGAGCCTCAAGAGGCCCTCCAAGACGGCCATTACAATCAAAAATCGTGCCATTCACAGAGGAACATGTACACTTCCCACATGAACGGCGTTTCGAGTTTCACAGCGCCTCAGACTACGCAAATAGCCCCCAACATCGCCCCGAGACAGCCCAACAATCCGCTAAAATCGGCCCAAGACGGCCCAAGATAACCCCAAGACGGCACAAGAGAGCACCAAGACCGCCCAAGAGGTGCCCAAAGGGGGATTCTGCACCTCAGAAGCCACCAACATCCCGCCAATAAGTCCCCCAAAACGCCCCAAGAACCACCCAAGAAGCCCAACAAGAAGCCCCAACGACCCCCAAACGGCCCTTACGGGGCCTCAAGAGGCTTCAACACTGCCTCCAAGAGGTTCCCGAGACGCCTGGCAAAAGAACCCCCAAAGCGCCGCATTGACACCAGGCCCTCGGGCAAACGGCAGACATGAGACTGTATGGGCCGGCGGAGTGAGCGAAGCGATTAAATAAATAGACACACGTCCAGGGATTCCAACTGCTTTCTCTGTATGCTCTGGATTTGTTCTTCCCTTCCACCTCGCAGTTTGTCCTAGATTTTCCAGGGGGGATACACGTTTGCTTGTGCAAGTGTCTGTTTTCCCCTCCCGCCTGTGTAAGGGAGGCCAATCCGCTAGAGATGCGCAGAAGGAAGACGATGCAGACTTAGCATTGGAGAAACGGGTCCTTCGGGAAACGGGCCCTTGGCCCCGGGGGCCCCCCCCAGGACAGGACCCGCATCCCGGGCAGTTCTCTAACGGTCCATGGAGCCCGTGGAGGGCCCCGGGGGCAAGGAAACAACAGAAAAACCTCAGGAACCGTTCCCATCGGGACATGTCGGGTCGGGCGAAAGGGGGAGATAGCAAAGGGGGGGTTTGAGAATCAGCTCATGTAGATGATTTTCCCAGCGCCTCCCGGCGCCGGAGGCGGCTATGTATCGAGGAATGGGCCCCTCGGCGAGGCCGAAACCAGCTGCATGCAGCAACTGTCGTAACCCCCCCCTTTCCCAATCCCCCCCCTTTCGTCCGGCCCGAACATGGCGCTCCGCGCGGATTTCTTGGATCTGCGCGGGACCCCCCTCCCTGGCGCGCGGAGCGCGCCAGGGGCGGCGCCGGAGAAGCCGCCGGGGGGGCGCCAGCGCGGATCCAAGAAATCCGCGCGGAGCGCCAAACGCTGAGGTTTATGCCGTTTTGTCTTCTTCGATCCATGGCACCCCCTGAGGCGAGGAGGACCTCAGCTGGAATCCGGCCCGACACGCGCCCCATGGGTGAGCGGATCTCCCCCGAGCCCCTGGCTCCGCTTCGCCTCGCCTCGCTTTCCCCGCACCGCCTCGCCCACCTTCGGTGGCAACTCACGGGAACCTCCCATGCTACCTGGCTGGCTCTTGCGAGTCTAGAAAAAGAAAGAACGCCATAAACATAAACTTATGGCGCTCCGCGCGGATTTCTTGGATCTGCGCGGGACCCCCCTCCCTGGCGCGCGGAGCGCGCCAGAGGCGGGGCCGGAGGCGCCGCCAGGAGACCCCAGCGCATATGCAAGAAACCCGCGCGGAGCGCCAAGTGTTTTTTATGATGTTTTTGCCGTCTTCGAGAACCGCCGCTGACCGATGATGCATCGACGAGAGTCGACACGAATCGACGCCAATCGACGCTGGCCGGCGCCAAGTCGACGCAAAAGCGGCGCTAGATCGGCGCTGCCTCACAAATTACCAAAAAGACGCCAGCGAGCGCGAATGCAATCTGAAAGACGGAGTATTCCGATGCCACGCAAGGCTCCCATGATCCACGACTTACTGCCGCACTGCGCCCCTCCCCGCCAGGCCGCGTTCTCCTCCTCGGCCTTCACCCCCTCTGCAGCTACCCCCCTGCGCCGCCCCGCTCCGCATTCCGCTCGCCCCCTCCCTGCTCCCCGTGCATTAGGTCGGGCACGTCCCCCTACCGGCGGATTTTGAAACATAGTCCAGCAATGCCCCGAAATAGACTAAAACTAATAGAACAAATGTCCCTAGATATTCCTTGACTCTGTTTGAATATTCCTCCCGTAGAGGGACATGCCCGAAGTAACCCTTGCAGGCCCCCTCGATCACCAGCCCCCCGTCCCCCCCCACCTCCCCTCCAACCCGCCCTCCAACCCTTCACCCTTCACCCTCTCGGCCGCCTCCTCCCTATCCAGATCCACGGTGCGCCGCCCCTCCCCCGCCCCCTTCGCCCGCCTCCCAGCCCCCTCCGCGCTTCCCCCCCTTCCCTTGGACGTACTCCCTCAGCCGCTCCCGCCGCTCCCGCCTCTTCCGCCGCGCCCCCCCCCCTTCCCCCCTCTCCCTGACCCCTTCCCGCGCCCTCCCTGCTCCATCCTCCCCGCTCGCCGCTCGCTCGCCCCCGCGCGCATTCCGCCCCGCGCACGCTCGCGCCCTCGCACCCCCCTGGGCCTTCAGGATGACCGAGTTGCTCCCCTCCCGCTCCAGCGGCCGGCTCCAGAAGAAGTCGAGGAAACTGTCGTTGCTGTCCTGGGGGGAGGGGGAGGGGCAGGCCGCGCTGGCACCCATCCAGTCCGCCCCCCGCCCCTCCTCCGCCGCCTCCTCCAGCGCCGCCGCCTCCCCTTCCCCTCCGCCCTCCTTTCCCGCCTCCTCCTCCAGAGCCAAGGAACTGAGCGGCGTGAGCGTGATGTTTCGGAGGTCCGCGAGGACTTCCTGGATCGGCTCTCGCCCCCCTGAGTGGCCTCCAGCGCCGCTCCTGGCGCTCTCCACTACAACGCTGGACAGACTCGTTTCACACTGAAGCAGTTGTACACGCGCAGGCAAATCTACGCATGCGAGCGTTAGAAGGCACCTCCAGGGACTCCCAAGAGTTGCCGCTTGGGAGTCCAGGCTGCGAGGTCTTCGCCATTATGCCGAACAGAGTGGGACGAAGCCAGATTTGCGTGATCAGTGCAGAATCTGGGGGGCCCTGGAAACATGGCCCTGGCAGAAACATGCCCTGCGGCCCAGGGGGCCTTCCCCAGGACCAGTGCCTCGCCCCGAGCGCTCTGACAGCATCCCCTGGGGGTTCGCCCATGGGCTCCCGGAGCCTAGAACCTGCGAAACGCTACAGGAGAAGACACCCCGTCCCTTGGAGACCAGAAGGTGCCAATACCGCTACTCCCTGGACCTGGCGGCTCCAGCGCTGGCGACGAGGGCCTGCCAGAAGGCCGAACAACGGGAAAACAGGCGAAGGGTAGAAGTATGGGTACCTTTTCCTCGTCTGATCTCCTTCGTGGCGACAAGGCTGCGTGGCGGGTGGACAGGTGGAGGCCTCCCAGATGGTGTCCGAGTAGGTGGGGTCGGAGGATCGCGCCACATCGGCGATGCATCGGCGGTAAATCGCCGATGCATCGGCGACGTCGGCGAGACATCGGCGCCACCGGCGTGGAGAGAATCGGGCTCCACATAGAGCCGCATCGCACATGTTCCGGCGATGCGGCGCGATAGTCCGACCCCATCTGCTCCGACCCCATCTAGGATCAGGTCGGTCATGTCCTCCTACAGGCGGATTTGGGAAGGAAACTTAAGCATAGTCAAACAATGCCCAAAGCTGTCAACAACTATTAGACTAATCGTCCCCATACTAGTTCTTGGCTATTCTTGAATCTTCCTCCTGTAGAAGGACATGCCCGACTTGAATCCAGGAGGCCTGGGACAGGGGCGGTCAGCATTGCATCCACACGTCGGACCGACTCAGGCCGCCGGCACGGAATCGGGCCGCACGCACAGAACCGGAATGTCGAACCCGTCCAGCCGCGACGGGGCGCACGACAGCGACAGGCAGACGTCGAGCCGAACCGCATCGCTGAAAACCCCACGCAAGGTCGTGGACGAGCGCCTTGTCGGGCCACCCGATGGACGCTGCCATCTCCGCCAAAAGGCGCCATGTTTTGAAAGGCCCAAGCACGCGTCGGCAATGAAATGGCAAGCGGGCCGATGTTGCGAAACAGCTGCAAAACCCTTGCGAAAAATCGCGACCGGAGCCCTAGATCCCTGTCTTTCTGCCGCATGTTTCTGGCCAGAAAGCCCCAGGGCCCGAAGCCGGGCGAACACGCCCGGTGTGAAAGAATGGCAGCCCCCGGATCTCAAGGGAGTCGAACACGACCGCACAGGCGTCAGACATGCGACGTCCCGATTTCTTCAGGACGCCGTCTCCAGAAGTCCAGACCCTTTCCCCAAGGCCTGCTTCTCATCCCGAATGGTTTTTTGACGGTCCCGAGGCCCAGCGAGGGCCCCCCGAGGCCGAAAAAGGCGAAACACCGCCCGTCCTGATTTTTACGACGCGATCATGTCTGGGGCCGAAACCCAAATCCCACCGCATCGACCGACTCCCAGTGGGCCGTGGTGGGTTCGGGCGCACGCTAACATGGTTTACGGATGCGTGGATCCGGGGCGTGGGAACATGAGCCTGGTGCCGCCTCACCTGGCGACGGAGCGCTTCGATTCTGCATTTTCCCTAGATCCGACGACGCGAGAAAATACATCGTCGCGAAAATCGCGAAAAATCCGCCGACCCTTCGGCGAGGTGAGACGCTGTCGTCTTCGTCGTCGTCGTCGTCGTCGTCGTCGTCGTCGTCGTCGTCGTCGTCATCACCAGTCCCCAGATAACTGAAGAACGAAACAAAAAGGAACGTCGTGGTTGAGTCGATTCCATTTCCTTTTTCACTCCCCTGCCGCGGAGAGCACGGGTGGACGGGGGGTCGGGGGGGGGGGGGTACGGGAGGGGGTCCAAGGTCAGATTACCACCCCCTGGGAGTCCCGGCAGGTCCCGGCGGGTGGTCCCCGCTGTGGACGGACGGAAGACAGGGGGAGTTCCCCCCGGTGGGGGGGGGTCCTGGGGGGGGGGGTCCGGGTTCAGAGTACCGCTCCCCTCAGGCCTAAGGGTTCCAGCGGGTCCCGGGGGGTCGCCAGAACGGTCCCGCCCCCAGGGTCGGCGGCACTGGCCGGAGCCTAGACCCCATCATTCTGCTGCGCTTGTCGAGCCAGATCGACCCGTGAGGGTCCCGAGGCCCCGAACTGCGCGGAATCGCCCGACTCGACAACAATTACGGCGCCAGGATCTCAGGGCGAAACCAAGACCCGTCGCGAATCCACGCGGAGGAGGAGGGGAGGAGGAGGAGGAGGGAGGAGGAGGAGGAGGAGGAGGAGGAGGAGGAGGAGGAGGAGGAGGAGGAGGAGGAGGAGGAGGAGGAGGAGAGGAGGAGGAGGGGAAGGAGGAGGAGGGGAGGAGGAGGAGGAGGAGGTGGAGGAGGGGGAGCAGGAGAGGAGGAGGAGGAGGAGGAGGAGGAGGAGGAGGAGGAGGAGGAGGAGGAGAGGAGGAGGAGGAGGAGGAGGAGGAGGAGGAGGAGGAGGAGGAGGAGGAGGAGGAGGAGGAGGGGGAGGGGGAGGAGGAGGAGGAGGAGAGGAGGAGGAGGAGGAGGAGGAGGAGGAGGAGGAGGAGGAGGAGGAGGAGGAGGAGGAGGAGGAGGAGGAGGAGGAGGAGGAGGAGGAGGAGGAGGAGGAGGAGGAGGGGGGGCGGCGGAGGAGGAGGAGGAGGAGGAGGAGGAGGAGGAGGAGGAGGAGGAGGGAGGAGGAGGAGGAGGAGGAGGAGGAGGAGGAGGAGGGAGGAGGAGGAGGAGGAGGAGGAGGAGGAGGAGGAGGAGGAGGAGGAGGAGGAGGAGGAGGAGGAGGAGGAGGAGGAGGAGGGAGGAGGAGGAGGAGGAGGAGGAGGAGGAGGAGGAGGAGGAGGAGGAGGAGGAGGAGGAAAAGGGGGAGGAGGGGGAGGGGGAGGAGAAGGAAGTGAAGGAGGAGGAGGAGGAGGAGGACGAGGAGGAAAGTGAGGAGGAGGATAATGATGATGATGAGGAGGAGGAAAAAATGGGGGAGGAGAGAAGAGGAGGAGGAGGAGGAGGAGGAGGGGGCGGAGGAGCAGGAGGAGGAGGAGGAGGAAGAGGGGAAAGAGGAGGAGGAAGGGAAGGAGGAGGAGGAGGAGGAGGAGGAGGAGGAGGAGGAGGAGGAGGAGGGGGAGGAGGAGGAGGACCAGTGTAAAACCAAGAGTCATCAACGATGCTGGAATTATCCCTCCCTGCAAGCTCCCTCTTCATAGGCCACCACAACGGTTCACTTCCATAAAAGGAAATGCCTCGTTGGAAGGCAGCCGTTTGAAGATCCGGAAACATGCCAAAACATTATTCTCGGGATTTCAACGCCACGTATCAATTTGACTGCTGCGTCTTGACGATCCGGAACCGTGCCAGAGCGCCACTTGCGCGACTTCAACTCCGCGAACCAACATAACCGTTGCACCCGCGTAATCCAGAATCCTTCAAAAACGCAGAATTTCTGGTACGTTGATCAGTGCGAATGTGTGAAGCCCGTGCGAATTTTAAAAACGAATGTGCGCGGCGATAAGGCGACAACCACATTTTGAAAGAGAACCGCCCACGACCCGTGAAACTCTTGCAAATGTTTAAAACGAATGCGCGCGGCGCTAAGGCGATAACCATATTTTGAAAAAGAACCGCCCTCAATCCGTGAGTCTCTTGCAAATGCTGATAACGAATGCACGCGGCGCTGAAGGGGGAACCACGTTTTGAAAACGACCCGTCTTCATTCCGAGACGCTGCTGCACAGTTGTAATACGACTGCGCGCGGCGCTGCGGCGAGAACCACATTTTGAAAACCGCCCGCCCTCAATGCGTGGAGCGCTTGCAACTTGTTGCAAAAAGAGTGTGCGCGGTGCGAAATCCAGAACCACAATTTGAAAACCACCCGCCCTCAATCCGCGAAGCTCTTGCAAGTGTGTAGAACGAATGTGCGCGGCGCTGGGGCGAGAGCCACATTTTGAAACTGCTGCCACTTTTGAAGTTTCAAAATCGTAAATGGTGACGCAGTCTCAGGCGAAACGCCCGGCCCGCCAAAAAAACTAGCCTCGGGGTGCGACGGGGAGGATTTCTCTATAAGGAGAACGTGTGGAGAAGAAGGAGAGGAAGAACAGGAAGAGGAGGCGGAGGAGAAGGAGGGGAGGAACAGGAGGACGAGGAGGAGGAGGAGAGGGAGGAGGAGGGGGAGGAGGAGGAGAAGGAGGAGGAAAACGACCGGGAGGAGGGGGAGGACGAGGACGAGCAAGAGGAGGAGGAGGAGGAGGAGGAGGAGGGGGAGGAGGAGGAAGGGGAGGAGGAGGAAGAGGAGCATGAGCACGAGCATGACCATATGACTAAGTCAATCAATCCACCACATCGCTTGAACCCTGCGATTACCCCTGGTGGCCTTCTCGGCTTTGCTCAGGGCCTTTGGCCACGAGCCCTGGGAGATGTGCCTCAAATGCTCGGCCTTGCAGGGAGTGGGAGGTGTCACGCACTCACGTTCCAGGGCTTGGAGTTGCAGGGATCCATAGCTACGGCAACTGACACAATACCACAACTTCGAATCACCATGAAATTGCATTATGTGACTGGGGTGGACACACCCTCCTGCGATGTGCAACATCGCACCCTCGGGCTTACGAA